TTTTTTTTTTTTAAAGCACTTTTTGGACAACTAATGAAAGAAAAAAATGTTTTATCTACTATCTGAAAAATAAAGGAAAAGGAAAAAAAAAATATAACAAATGAAACCTAAGAAACCTAAAAAACCTGGACATATTAATGTCAAAGCAGATTTTTATTTTCATCAAGTAAGAATCTACCAACATTAATATGTAAAAGTATGATTTCAATGGTCTTTTAATAATATGTGAAGAAACAATCAGAAAATCCAAGGACTATATACAATGTCGTTTTTAAATAATTCTTAAAAAAAAAAAAAAAAAATAATCAGATCCAATGAAAAAGCACAATAGGTAAAAAGTTCAAATTGTTCATTATTCATCATTTTCATTGACAATTTGTCCGCCAACTTTAACACCACGATTAAACATAACTACTCCTGCTAACATTTTACCCAAATGATTCTTGGTGGACTTTCCAACTTTTTTTGGAGTTTTATCATAAGACCTCAAAGAACGTTGTTTTGATGTATCAATCGTTTCAGTAGAATTAGAAGATGTAGGAGGAGGGGAAGGGGTAAAAGGAAGATCATTAATCGATTGCTTACGAGGTGGTGATCTAGATGTTTGTACATTTCTTCTTTGAGGAGCAGTATAAATACTTTCTTGACCCAGATTTGAAGGCCGCTGAGGTCTTCTACGAGGAGTAACATTATCAATAGAGGGACGATTAGAGTCATTAACATCTGTACTCAATGATCCACGACGTCTGTAAGCTCCCAAAGAATTTAATGTCTGTTCCTGTTTTTCTTTACGTCTTTGTTCCAAGCGCTCACGACGTTGATTATAAGAAGTCCAATGGTTATTATTTGTTGTATTAGAAATCGTTGAACCATTTTCTATTGAATTTTCTCGTTGATGTCCGCGAGATCTATAATCGCCCCACGGTTTAGGTTTACAATAGATAATTTTTGGTGGAGATACAGATATAGGATTTGAACTTCCGCTCATCGCTCCTCCATGTTCTTTAAGTCTCTTTATAATATTATTATTAACTTCTTCATCTGTACCAAAACCAGAATCGGCGTCACTATTATTGGCACTTTCTACTTGACTTTCATCATCTCTATCTTTCTTAGTGAGTTTTACATTAGCTTCAACCGGGTTAACATTTTGTGAAGTTTTTTTAGATGAGTAACGATTATTAGTCATTTCACTTTCAAATTCTCCAACCACATCTGACCATGATTGTTGACGATCATGTCCACGTTGTCTCTGAGAAAAGGAAGTACTCTCTTTTGAAATTGATGATAATGAACTAGTAAATCCTTGAGACATATCATCAAACACATCATCAAGTTCGATATTATCATCTGATATTCTCTCTACAAATTTATCGAGCCAATTCCTCCATTCTTTGATACTAATTCGACCCTCTTCTGCGTTACAAAACACGCGAAAAGCAAAAAATCGAGCGACATTTCTTGGCATGGTTAAAAACTTATCCATCAAGAAGTTGGACTTGTCGAGTTGAAACATAGTGAATGCTTTACATTCTTCAGGGTTAGGATCAGCCCATGGTGAACGATGATATAACATGTTAAGTAATATGATTCCTAATGACCATATATCAGCTAGGCGTGGATTATATGTACCATTTGTAGAATTTCGACATTCTAATAAATTTAAATTCAATTTAGTTAAATATTAACCTTTTTTCTATATAAAAATATATATATAAATATATAAATATCTCAACTAACCATAACTCATATAAGGCTTAGATCCACAATCAAAATCAACTGACTCTTCTTCATCAGTAGCTAAACCGAAATCCGTTAGCTTAACTTGAATGCCTTTAAATTCACTATCATTCTTGATCATGACAATAAAATTCTCGGGTTTTAAATCTCTATGAGCCACACCTTTTTTATGACAATAACCAACCGCATCTAATATTTGTAGAAAGACATCCTTCACCATTGCCATACGTTCTTTTTCCGACAACAGTTTACCAGTAATTGGATCTTTGGCATCATTATTTTGTGTTAGCCAATAATATAAATCTTGACCTTCACAATATTCAAGTACAAGGAAGAGCCAATCAGGTGTTTCGAAATAATGATCAAGCTTCACTATATTAGGATGTGACAGTCGCTCGTGAATACGTACCTAAAATTACAATTTATTTTATTAAAAATTAAAATATTTCAAAATTGTATAATTGTATAAACAATGATGAAATATTTTACCTCATTATGTTGTATCTCTAAATGATAATCTGATAAATTAGCCTTTGATAAACATTTAAGAGCGTAAAATTTGCCGGTATTTTTTTCTTGCGCCATATATACAACGGCGTATGAACCATTACCAAGAGGTTGGATCAAATGATATTCTGAACCATCTACGGGGTTTGCAATAGTTGATCCAAGATTAAAAGGTAATATACTTGGTGATGACAAAGGTCCAGGTCGTAATTGTTGTTGATACCGAGCAATTGGCTCTTCTATTACAGGAGCAACAGGCCTTATTGGAGTTGACGTTGATCTTTTAAACATCATAGTTATTACGTAACCTTTTTTCTTTTTTTAAAATAAAGGAAAGAAGTAGAAAGAAAGAAATATATGACAAATTTTACACTTTTAGATAATTGGATAACTAACTATAATTGCGGGTTTTTTTTAAACTGTTTTTTTTCTTTTTTTTTTGATTTTCAAAGGGATTTTTAAAGTATTTTTTTTTGCTTCAAGAACCGGCTTGAGTTTTAATATATAGTGTATATATATTAAATATTGTTTTTTTTTTCTTGGTACAGATGAGGAGATCAAATTCCGGAAGTATTTCGGCCGATAAAAAAAATTAAACTCAAGATAGATAGATAGATAATGATTTTCGACAGACTTTACGTCGTCGATGTGGGGTAGAGATGTGAAGCAGGTAAGTAAGAAAAAATGTGGTTTGTTGTTTTGTTGATTGAAGAAGAGTGCTTGATCTGATCAATTAGAAAATTAAAGTCCAAATACGTTGATAACGCGATGGATAAGAAATATGTGTTGTTGTTGTTGAGTAAAAATAATATGTTCATCTTTTTGTTTAGAATCCTCTTTTTAATACGCCATACCGACAATAGCCAGTTAACTTTTGAAATAAATGGGTTGTTGGATAAAAAAAAAAAATAAGAAAAAAAATATATATAATAAAGGAATATGTATATTATGTATAAAAATGATTATATTACAATTTAAAAGAAGCAATTATTATTTAATTGAATCTCTTAAGGATTGGAAAGAATGAAGGGGGGGGGGG